GTCGGCCATGTTGGTTGCTTGTAAGGCGAACGCCCTACCCGCTGTGCTATTTAAACAAGTCTTTATTATTATTATTATTATGAACTTAATAAAAGGCAAGTACCTCTCATCTCTAAAATGTGGATGAGGGCCAGAACGATAGTACAGCAGGAAGGGCATTTGCCTTGCATGTTGCTGACCCAGGTTCTATCTCCAGCATCCCATATGGTCCCCTGAGCACCACGAGGAGTAATTCCTGAAATCACAGCCAGGAGCAATCCCTGAGCATTTTTGGGTGTGACCCAAAAAGCAAAAAATATAATAAAATAAAATATGGATGAGGAGCTAGAGTGATAGTGTAGCTGGTAGAGCCTTTGCCTTGCAGGATGTCGACCTGGGTTGGATCTTGGCATACCATATAGACCTCTAAATCCTACCAGGAGTAATCCCTGAGCTCAGAGTCAGGAGTAAGCCCTGAGCACAGCACAGTGGCCTCAAAACAAAAAATAAATAAAAATATGAACAATACTCTCTTTTTGAGCATAAAAGTCTTCAAAAGAAAAAAAAAGCCACTTAAATTGCCACTACACTTTTAAAAATTATAGTAAATTTCACACAAAATTGAGATTTTTATTTTTAAAGTGTGAAACAACACAAGCAGAAGTTATATGCTTTATGTTCTATCTTGCAGAATTAAGATTACCACAGGAAAATTATAGAACAAAACATAGACCTAATATTGACTTTTTAAATTGGGGAAGTTGGGTGCAGTAAAAAAATAAAAGTGAAGTGTGAAAGCTATTAGGAAACAGGATAGAATTGTGAAAGAGGACTTCCAACTCCCTCCTTTCCGCCTTTCCAATTCTCTTTTCTTCTCTCACTCTAAAGATAAAGCCTTCCCCAACTTTATCTTGCCCTATTCTACCTCTAGCTTCAAAACTCTAAAATATCTTACCCTGAACTGTCTCTTGTTGAGGAGTGCATGGAATAACTTTCAGAAAGCAAGCAAGTGTTCTTCCTATCACTGATTTCTCTTCAGTGCTTGACAGACCTTGCTCTCTTACACTAGTCAGGACTCTGTGAGATGGCAGAGATGGTCCCCCAGAACTTTTACCTGCTTTGTGAATTAGTGGCACCTCCTGCAATCTGAAATACCATATTGTCATTTATTTTCATTGTACACCAGTGAAAGAATTTCCTGTTAAATCGCTCGCCTTTCAGAAGAATGGATAGTAGCATTAAAGGAGGAAGATTTCCAATGAAAAAAATGGATATTTGCAGGTGAATAATTTGGGTTGAACTTTTGTTGTGTCAGGGAAAATAAACTTTCCCTTTCTAGTATAGGTTATAATGGGGACTTACAAGTTATTCTAATAAAACTCAGAGTAGCAAGAGAAAATCAGCTGCACTACCTAGTGAAATGCACAGAAAAATGTGACTAAGGGAGGCAGTTGAAATTTGGGGCATATATATATATATGAATAGCTAAGAGGACGAAGAACCTCCGGCTCCGGGCACATCTCTTTGATTCCACTGTTCTTCCTGCATTAACATATGCCTCAGAGACCTGGGCCCTACGCAAGCAATCAAGATGAGAATGCTATTCAGGTCTCCCAAAGAAGAATAGAAAGAGCTATGCTTGGAATATCACGTTTCACTCAAATGAGAGAAAAAATCCAGAGTTCTGACATCGGTCGACGATCAAGAATCAGGGACGCTGTCTCATTTGCCAAGGTGTCGAAAATCAGATGGGCTGGTCACGAAATGAGATTTAAAGACGACCGTTGGACTAGAGCTATTACCGACTGGAATCCACGGGATGTCAAAAGACCGCGTGGCCGCCCACCTTCCAGATGGTCAGACTTCTTCGTCAAGATCATGAACGATCGGTTTGAGGCCCTTCATGTTCCCGGAGCGAACAGATGCCATTGGGCTACACTAGCACGCGACAGGGACAAATGGAGACGTTACTGGCGCCCGCTCGAGCAAATCGACGACTAACGGGAAGTTAAGTGATTAAGTGATATATATGAAGGAGAAATGGGAAGAAAGAGGTCACTTACAGTAAAGAACGTGAGTTCTGAGTAAACAGGTCATCGGAGAATAAAACAAAGCTACAATAGTTATTTGACATGTGTGTTTTGTTGTGGCATAACTTTAAGACTCTGATGATGAGAGGCAATTTTCCGCTTGCTCTGAGGAACATCATTTTTAACTATTGAATTTTTTCTGGGAAGCCTAGTTTTTAGGAGGTCAGCATAAAAGAACAAGCATTAACAATCTGGTGAGATTACAAAACAGAAAAAAAATCTTACACTGTTACAGAGACAATAAGATACAACTGACTACAAACTTGTTTGGAGATTAAAACTTAACTAATCTCAAGAGAACTTGAAGGTATATTGGTTGTAATTAGTTATTCCTCTTGTTTATTTTCTCAAAGAACCATCTCTTGGTTTCATTGATCTTTCGGATTGTTTTTGGGTTTCCATGTCATTGATTTCTGCTCTAAGTTTTATTATCTCTCGATAGCACAGCGGTAGGGCGTTTGCCTTGCACGCAGCCAACATGGCCGACCCGAGTTCGATTCCTCCGCCCCTCTCGGAGAGCCCGGCAAGCTACCGAGAGTATCTCGCCCGCACGGCAGAGCCTGGCAAGCTACCCGTGATGTATTCGATATGCCAAACACAGTAACAACAAAATCTCCAATGGAGACGTTACTGGGCCTGCGCGAGGAAATGATGAACAACGGGAGGGCCTTTACCTTTACCTTACCTACTTCTGCATGATTTGGGCTCCTGTTGTTGGTCCTTTTCTAAGATCTTGAGCTGTGAAGTCAAGTTGCTTATGTGGGCCCTTTCTTTCTTCCTGAGAAATGCTTGCAGAGTTACAAATTTTCCCCTTAACAGGGCTTTAGCTGCGTCCTATAGGTTCTGGTAGCTCATATCTTCATTCCAATTTGTTTCCATGTATCTTTTGATTTCATCCTTGACTTCCTTCCTGACCTACTCCTTGTTCAACATTGAGTTGTTTAATTTCCAGGTGTTTGATTTGGTTCTCCGTGTCTGTGTGTGATTCGCTTCTATCTTCAGTGCATCGCGATTTGAAAAAATTGTTGATACTATTTCTATCTTCCTGATTCTATTGAGGTATGTTTTATGGCCAGTGCACACAGAACATTTTGGAAAATGTTCTGTGTGCACTGGAAAAGAATGTGCATTCTTTCTTTTTAGGGTGTGAAGCCCTGTATAAGTCCATAAGCCCTCTCTCTTCTATTCTCTTCTATTTCTTCCTTCAAAGCCAATGTTTCCTTGCTGAGTTTTGTTCTTGTTGATCTATCCAGAGGTCATAAGGGTGATGTTGAAGTCTCAGGCTACTATTGTGTTGCTAGCAATGTCCTCTTTAAAATCTGTTAATAGTTGCTCGAGCGGGCCCAGTAACGTCTCCATTGGAGACTTTGTTGTTACTGTGTCTGGCATATCGAATACTCTCGGTAGCTTGCCAGGCTCTCCAAGAGGGGCGGAGGAATCGAACTCGGGTCGACCATGTTGGCTGCGTGCAAGGCAGACACCCTACCCGCTGTGCTATCGCTCCAGCCCTGTTAATAGTTGTTTTAAATATTTAGCTGTTCCCTCATTAGGTGCATATACATTTGAGTGTGATTTCTTCCTGTTGTATGTATCCCTTGATAAATAGAAAATGGTCTTCGCTGTCCCTCCTAACCTTTTTCAACCTGAAATTTATGTTGTCTGATACTAGTATGGCCAGCCCAGCTTTTTTGAGGGAGCTGTTTTCTTGCAGGATTGTTTTCCATCCTTTATCTTTGAGTCTGTGTTTGCTCTGACTGTTCAGATGAGTTTCTTTTAGGCAGCAGAATGTTGGGTTCTGTCTCTGAATCCATTTTGCCACTCTGTGTCTCTTAATTGGTGAATTTAGACCGTTGGCATTGTGAGAGATTATTGTTATGGGGTTTTGTGTCAACTTTCTGTAAGGATTTGTTGTGCTTGTAGGGTTTGTCTTATCTTATAGTAGCCCCTTTAGCCCTTCTTTTTGATTTGGTTTTGAGTCTATGAAGTTCCTGAGCTGTTGTTTATCCACAAAAGAGTGTACCGTTCCTTCGAGCTTGAGTGAGAGCTTAGCTGGATAGAGTATTCTTGGTGAAGCTAAATTTCAGTGAGTTTTTTCACTATATCCCACCATTGCCTTTGGGCTTGGAGGGTTTCCTCTGATAGGTCTGCTGTGAATCTAAGGGGTGCTCCTTTGTATGTGATTTCCTTTTTTGACCTTGCTGCTTACAGTATTGTGTCTCTACCCATGGTATCAATCATTCTAACTATAATATGTCTTGGAGTGTTTTTGTTAGGGTCTCTTTTAGCTGGTACCCTTCGGGCTCCTTGAATCTGAATGGCTTCATTGTCCAGCTCTGGGAATTTTTCAGCAATGATTTGTTTAATCGTGGCTTTTTCATTGGGATTGTTTCCCTAAGCTTCTTGTACTCCAATGACTACAATGTTGTTACTCTTGGAATCATATCCTAGAACTCTGATTCACTCTAGAGTTATTTTGAGGTCTCTTACCATTGTTTGTTGTTGCCTGTAGGCTTGGTGTAGCTGATCTTCCATCTCACTGATTTTAACTTCAGCTGTAGCCATTCTACTGTTGAGGGCACAGACTGAGTTTTTTATTTTATCTACCGAATCCTTTATTCGTGACACTTCTGTGTGTAGCTTTTCAATTTCTGCTCTCATTTCTTCCTGTAATTTCTCAATGGTCAGATCCATTGTTTCTTTCATGTCCTCCTTTAATTTATTGGATAACTGTGTCACTGTTTCTTTGAGTTCATTGGACATCTCCATTACTTCATATCTGAAATCTTTATCAGAGAGGTCCTTTAGGTGAGTAACACTTAATGAGGCTTCTGGACTCTTTCCATTGTCCTCTCCTTGTGGTGGGGATTTGCGTTATTTCTTCATGTTGGTGTGGTGGTATGGAGACTGAGATATTAAACGATATTGCAGGGTATGCGTAATTTATCTATGGCTGTGTGAGCGGCAGTCAGCCCAAAATTTAAGCCACGCCCACTTCTGAAGCGGCCACACCCCCTACGGGTACCTGGTGTGTGGGACGGGTACAACCTGAGGGATGGCGAAGACCAGGCTGCAGCGTTGGAGATGGAACAGAGAGAGGCTCAGGGATGGGAGGCAGCCCAGGGTTCTAGAGAACACCTGGGGCGAGTGCACGGGGAGAGTGAAGTCCGGGTTCAAATAATGACTGACCTGAGGGATGGAAAGGACCAGGTGCAGCGTTGGGGAAGAACAGGAAGAGGCTCAGGGATGGGGGGAGGCCCAGGGTCCTAGAGGACACCTGGGGCACGTAAGCGGTGAGAGCAAAGTCCCAGGTTCGAATCGTAATTAGTTATTCCTAACTTTAATATTTAGAGAGACTATTCATGTTAAGTCATAGTGTTTTATTTGTTTTACTTATTTTAAATTTTTTTTATTGCTTACGGTTTTGTAATTTAAATATTGATAATGATAATTTCCTATGTACATAATTGTAACACCATACCCATTACCAGTGTACCTACTTACCTCCCCCCAAAACCACTGTCCCTCCCTTCCAATGCTGCACCCCAACCGTCAGCACCAATCAATTCAGTTTTGTGGATCAGTTGTTCCATTCTGTTGTTGCCTTTGACCCCTTATTGCTACATTAAGTCCCACATTTAAGAAAGAGAGAGCTAGAGAGAGGGAGAGAGAGAGAGAGGAAGAGAAAGGGAGAAAGGGGAGAGAGAGAGAGAGAAAAGAAAAGGTATAAAACTCCCATAAAAAACCAAAGACACCATTTCTTGGCATCTATCCCCAAAATACAAAAACATGAATTTAAAAGGATATTTGCTAACATCCGTTTATTGTAATACTTAGTAGTCAAGTACCGAATGTCCACTAGGAAATTGTTTTTGATACTGTTTTTAAGTCTTTCACAGGACAAGAATAGAAGGGTTTTTTTAAAATTTTTTTAAAGCACCATGATTTACAACAGTTAATGATAGGATTTTACTATTCAAAAAAACATTTGTGGTCCTCTATTCATTGCAGAGCTATCCACAATAGCCCAAATCTGGAAACAATCCATGTCCAAAAACAGAAGAATGAGTAAAGAAACTATGGTATATATGCATAATAGAATACTTAGAATACTTAATTATGAGCAAGACAAAATATTGCAATTTGTTGCTACATAGATGGATTCAGAGAGTATCATAATGAGAGTAGCAAAAGGAGAGAGACAGATACAAACTTATCTCTCTCATATGCAAGATAAAAAGAAAGATAGTAAGAAAATATCAGTTGGTCAAGGAAACAGATACTGAGAACTAGTCTACAGAACTGGGCTTACAATCGTGGGGGAATAGGGAGGGAGAAGGGTCATTTTGAAAAAATATTTGAAAAGATTAAGGAGGGGGGACATTCTGATGAAGGTTGTGATATTGAAATATTGAATCCATGAAACCCTATCATTTTCAAAAACAATTTCCTTATTTTATTTTTCAGCACTGTGATTTACAATACTGCTAATTTCAGGGTTACGCATACAATGTTCCAACACCACACTCCCCACCAGAGGGTCCATTTTCCTCTCAATGTCTCCTCATCCCCTTGCCATGGTAAACTCAGTACTGTAGATCAGTTCTAGGTAATGGACTATTATCCAGAGAAGAAATAAACTTCTCAGATTTTCAAACCAGTGGTTGTTTAGCATTTGGGGACAAGGTTCCCACCTAAGTCAGACTCTTCTTCTGCACAGATATTGGGACGTATCCTTTAGAAGACAATACTTTTCCATTTTGTTTATTTTGTTTTGCTTTTGTTTGGGGGCCATACCATGGTTCTCTGGGCTTACTGCTGGCTCTGAGCTCAGGGATCACTCCTAGCAGGCTTGAGGGGCCCTATGGGGAGGCAAGGATCAAACCTGGGTTAGCTGCATGCAAGGAAAGCACCCTACTCATCGGACTATCTCTCTGAAACAGACCTTCCATCCTGAGAAAGACTTTCCTGAACTGTAAGGATAGAAGAGACTGACTTTGACATTTGGGGGATATATCTGAAAGGGACAGAGAAAAAAAATTCTAAACATCAACAAAGAAATAGTGAGAGAAATAGTTTTCAATCTGTCAACGAGGAGAATTAAGCATCATTTTAATTTGTTCTTATCTTTCTACCTTTCAATTCCTGTTGCTCAATGTTTCAAAAGTAAGAGGACAGCACTTCATGTGGAACCCATATTTTATCATTATGCAAGAATGTTTTTGAAATTTGAACAATTAATTAAGGAAATTATTTACCCCAGCATTCTCTCACTTTACACATCAGTCTGCTCACCTCTAGCTATTTCTTGTGTAAAAATACAACTCAGTTCCTCATGTAAAATTTAAATCAATTATTATACTCCCTCTATTTACAACTGCATTCCCATACATCCAGACCACACAAATGTTCACCTTAGAGGGGTGCCAATAACACAAGGAACCCAGGTAAAATCTACTTTAGGACTTGGGCCACCTGAAAAAGTGAGGAAACTGTGAGTATCCCATCCCTGATCTTCCATGGGGCATTGTGTTACCAGGGTTGCACATGAAAAGGCCAACCCTGGACGCAGGGTTGCTGCACGCAGGCACCTCCACTTTTGACTCATTTCTCTTCTCTCCTTAGCGACTGCACATCAATCAGTGATCTCCATCCGTCCGCCATGGACCACCTTCTTCAAAGGAGCTGCAGTGAAAATGATTTGCAATGGATCTGATGATTATGTAACAGGGCAAACACAATATATTTGGTATGATCATAAAAATATACGAGATAAAACCACAGGAAACAACCTCACAGTCCGTGATTCTGGAATGTACAGATGCCAGGCTCCGGGCTCACTCCCAAGTAAGCCTGTGAATTTGCTGTTTTCTTCAGGTGAGAAAAGTAATTAGATAAAACTTTGGAGATGGTTAAGAAAAATTTTAGCTTCCTAGAGTTTTTAAGAACTGAGTTTCTTCATTCCACTTCACCTTAGCTATGTGAGCTTCATCACTCACTTTGTAAATGTTTTTCAAACTGCTACTGATATTAAAGTTTAAATGTCTAATATTGGCGCTGGGGTGATGACTCAAGGGGCTGAATTTCATGCTTGTCAGGAGACCTAAGTTTTATCTTCATACCACATGCTGCCTTAAGCAGCATGTCGTGTGCCCCCTGAGCACTGAGCTAGGAGTAGCCCCTGAGCTTTACTGGGTATGGTCAAAATAACCAAAACGAGCAATTAAAGAAATGTCTAATATTAAGCAATGAATGTTTTTTGTTAAAAAATTATTTTATTTACTTTAATGTAAAAAAGCCATAACTGTTGATACAATTCTAAAATTAAAACTGATTAGATAACAAAGCTGCAATATAAAAAAATCAGCGGGCATAAAAAATTAATTTATGTGAAAATTATTATATCTCATCACATGGTTATTAAGTCTTTTTATAAAAATTTATTAAGCTGCTTGTTGCTTTAGGAGGTGTCATTGCCATGTATGTGACTTTGTGGGCCAGAAACTTCAGAATCTAAGGTCTGAGCCAATGAGTTGACTTGGTAGTGGCTATGACAGATGGATGTGACTGCCGGGGCTGTTGGAAATACAGGATAAATGTTGCAGGATGGGGGGTGGGGATAAGGCTACCCACCTCAACTCAATAAAAAAAAATCAAAACATCAGCCTGGACACCGGGTACCTGAAACAATTTACAGAATATTTGTAAAGCAGTGGAGTTGAGACATTTGAGTCAACATGGCTGCAGCCTGTGAGAGGTGGGTCCAACGAATGTTCCTACATACTACAGACAGCAGTTGAAGGAATGAGTTAGTACAAAAGGGTTCAAAATAAAACTCTCTTAAATCATACCTTTAAGAATTTATAGATACCAAAGGGAGAAATTACACCTATACGAATGTTATGAAGTGAAAATGCCATAAAACACGAGTTCCCTAGTAAGTAATCTCCAACCTCATGCATGGATCCTAGGTTCTGTCCCTTTTCTATGTCCATTCTTCTCTCTAACTTTAATGAACTTCCCATCTTTCTATTTTTGTCAACTTTAGAGATAGACACCATGGACATTACTCTAGAGAAAGAGGCACTCACGCAGAGACACAAAAGACAGCCTTAACCTATAATTAGAATCTGAGGAGCATGAGAATTTCCATGGAGGACCATATTCACAAACCCTTACTGTGTATTTGTGTCTGTGTTAAGTATGCCATTACACTTTCCGGAATATTTCTCTAGAGCTTCTTCTTAGGTGAATCTTGCCCTGAGACAGGTGAGAGTTATTGATCTTTGCCATATTCCATGACATTAAGGTTATGATCACATTCCATCCCACCTATTACTCTCCATTTCAAAATCAATATATTTTTGAGTTAGTTTAGAAAATTTAAAGATATGTGCTAGAGATTTATTTCAGAGTCACATCTAAAGCCTGTCATGCTGATTTAGAAGAAAATAAGAGAGCAGGGAGCAGGAGACTAAACTCTGTAGACAAAAGAAAAAAAAACCTTTGAAATCCATGACACTCATAGGGAAGAAAGGCACCATAAATGGCATGTCTTATTTCCCTGTGTTTTCCAGGTTCCCTTATCCTTCAGACCCCAACCTTTGTGTTTGAAGGTGACAGCTTCATTCTGAGATGCAAGAAAAGAGGAAGAGGAAGAGGAAGAAGAAAAGAGTTGACTGATGTGAAATACATCCGGAATGGGAAAATTATTTCTAATTTTAACAAAAGCTTAGACCTTTTTATACCTCAAGCAAGGTTAAATGACAGTGGCTCATACCAGTGCATTGGAATTGAGAATAAAATGTATAAATTTAGGTCAAATTTTAAAATTATTAAAATTCAAGGTAAGTACTTTGTTTCACATGGATTTACTTAGTAATGTCAGGGTGGGGAAATAGGTTATATAATTTATATATCAACATCAAAAATATTTTTTCAAATACATACTAATAGTTATATTAATATATAATATATATAAATGCCATAAATGAGAGGCCTAAGGTCTATAGGAAGCATAGAAAATTGAGTGACTAGAACTTAACTAACTTTAGAAGAAAAATATGACAGAGGTGTGGATAGGTTGGTCTTGCTGTGTGCATGAAATTTCCTAGGACTAAGTATTATTAAGCTTGTCTTTACCAGATTTGAGTACCATTGTACTGAAAATATCATTTACCTCCTCTTTCAAGAACTATTTCCAGATCCAACACTGAATATCACAGACCTCCAGCCTGAAGAGGGGAGCTCAGTCACACTGATCTGTGGAGTACAGCTTCCTCCGGAAAGACAGGACACTCTACTACACTTCATCTTCTACAGAGACAATGGGGTTGTGTTGTCAAAGTGGAGCAGGTCCCCAGAATTCCAGATCTCCAACATCTGGAGAAAAGACTCTGGAGTTTATTGGTGTGGCGCTGAAGCTGTGCTCAACAACATCTCTAAGCACAGTCTTCCGAGACAGATCCACGTGCAAAGTGAGCACTGGGGGCCAGGCTTGCTGGTGTAGCTCCTATTATAAGAATTACCCCTTAGCGATTTATAATTTTCAAACATATTCCCTGTTCCATAGATTGCTTTTTCTTCTCTCTCTCTCTCTCTCTCTCTCACTCTCTCTCTCTCTCTCCCTCTCTCTGTCCTTTTTTGCTGTTAAGAAAGATTTTACTTTGTAATCTCATTTGCTTTTTCCTTCTGTTGTCTGAGTTATAGTGTAAGCCATAATATCATTATAAAATCAATATCAAGGAGCTTTTGCAAATATTTTTCTAGTTTCATTTTCAGGTAATTATATTTAAATCTTCAACCCATTTTGAGTTAAGTTTTTTGAGTACTTACAACAGAGATCAAGTTTCATTCTTTTGCATTTGAATATCTAGTTTTCCCAGTACCATCTACTAAAGATGTTATCTCTTCCCCAAGAACTTCTCTAAGAAATGTTTTGGCTCTCTTGTAAAATAATAGTTGACTATATGTACATGGTTAATTTCTGGAATCTTGGTTCTATTTCACTGGACTCTACTAATACCACTCTATTTTAATTACTAAAGCATGTAATATAGTTTGAAATCAGAAAGTACGAGGTCTCATGCTTTATTCATTTATATTAGAAATACAAAGGGTATTTGGGATCTTTAAAGTTCCATGCAAATTTTAAGATTATAAAAAAAAACTTGTATAAGAATGCCGTTGGATGGGATGAAAGCTATAGTACAGCTGATAAGTCTATAAGTCTTGCATTCAACCAATCTGTGTTCCATTCCCCTTCCCTTCACCCCTCACCCCCACTTCCACATCTAGTCCTCCAATCACTGCCAGGAGTATTTCCCAAGTGCAGAGCCAGGAGTAATTCCTGGGCATCACAGGGTGTGGCCCCCAAACAAGGAAACAAACAAACAAACAAGAATGACATTAGAATTGTGTTAGGGATACATTGAATCTATGAAGAATTTCACATGGGAATTTAAATTGTCTGAACAGTGCAATATCATTCTTTTTCTCTCTTTTAATGTTCTACGATGCCATTATGATGTGAGAGATATCTTTGGAAATTTAACTCCAACACATGAAAAATTATTGCAAAGCTAAACAATTTGGACCACTTTAAATTGAACAGCTTCTGTACAGCAAAAGAAAAGAAAAAGAATGAAAAGACAATCTACTGAATTGGAGAAGATATTTGTACACCATACATATGACAGGGAGCTAATACCCTATGCAGATAAAGAAATCATACAAATTAACTCCACACACGAAACCCAATAAAAATATAGACAGAAGACTTGAATATACACTTCTCCTAGAGGGAATACTGGTAGCTGACATATAAAAAGATGTCCAGTATCACTGGTTATCAGGTTTTTAAGTCTTTATTTTATTATTATGTTTTTATTAGAGGAAGGTCACACCATGCAGTGCTTGGGGCTTACTCCTGGATCTGTGCTCAGGGATAACTTCTGGTGGGGCTCGGGGATCATATGGGATGTCAGGGATCCAAACTGGGTTGGCTGCATGTAAGGCAAACACCCTATCCCTTGTATTATTGCTCCAACCCCAGAATTTTCACTCCTGTCTTTACCATTTCATGCTGAATCACTCCCTGTTAGACACAGGGTTGAGCTGCCCACAAGTAGAAGTCACTGCCTGTGCCACCCCAGCCAAACCTATTTCTCAAGGATGCTCGAAATACTGACCCCTTTACTTTCCTCTTCTCCCAAGCCCTAGCCTTAGAACCAAGCTGAGGAAATCCTAGGACATCATATAATTCCAGGTCCAACCCTCTTCTGCTGTAACTCAAGTAGATTCTTTCCTTTAGTAAAGAATGGAAGTACCTCTAGGAGGATTGACAAGAGCAAAAGTACCGCCATTGCTGTGGGAGTCACTTGGGGACTGTTCACCTTTCTTCTCCTGACGTTGGCTCTGCTGTTTTACTGCTGGCACCAGAGGAAATCAGGTTTGTGCCCTTTCTCACCTCCTTAGAGCCGTGTCCTATTCTGACTCAGATATGGCAATTCATTACAAACTCAACACCTGCCCTAACACTGTACTCTACTTTGCCACCCCAATTTCCACACATTACTCACTAAAATTTTTAAACACTTGCTGTGGATCAAGGTGTTTGCATCCAATCTGTTTTATAAGTCTGAAGCGAGAGAGAGTGAGGAAGTAAAAATTTTCAAATAAAGTTACAAAAGCTTTGAAGTTACCTTTAGTATTTTCTTTAGCTCTAATTAAAGTTAATAACATACTTGGGTTATCTTAAATCCCTCATAGATGGACAGCAAAACACACTGAGGGGTTCTGTGCAGGAAAGACAGAACAGGCATTTGACCAATCATCCTTCTTCGTCCTCAGAGACTTCACTGAGGCAAACCCAAACCTCTTGCCCTGTGCTCCACAGGCTATTCCTTCCAAATGCTTTTGACTTAGTTCAAGTCAGGGTAGTTTCAGATGTCATAAAGTCTGGTATACCAGACACACATCCAACCTTTTTCGGATTTAGAACAATTAGTAGGCAGGGGTCACACCCACCAATTGACACCCCCCCCCACCCCGCGCCGTGTAATCCCATCAACAGCCAAGACCCAGAGACTATAAAACCCAGCTCCCAGAAGAGAACAGTGCAGAGTCTCCTGTCCCGCTCCTGGCTGTCCTCGCCAGGGCCCCTTGCAGGGGGGCGGGTTGAGTTTCCCTCCCCTCCCCGAGCAGAGTTCTGGCAGCCAAAGACCTCTAGAACCGGCCACAACCATGCTGAGACCACTCTCCACACCCATGAAGGTACCGGGGCTGAGCATCCTCCACCCAGATCCTGCATCTTCCAGTAGGCAGGGGTCACACCCACCAACTGACACACACAACCCCCCCACCCCCGCCCCGGGCACCGTGTAATCCCATCAATGACCAAGACCCAGAGACTATAAAACCCAACTCCAGGAGCACACAGCCACATTCACAGCCACACGACATCTTATCTCATTCTTACTTTGGACAACTTGGCAGGCTACCGAATGTAACCTGCCCACACGGCAGAGTCTGGCAAACTCCCCGTGGCATACCCAATATGCCAAATACTAGTAACAATGATGAGTTTCATTCTCCTAACAATGAAAGGGCCTTGAATATGGCACTTTAAAATTTCAGGGCTAGGACGAAGGAGACGTTACTGGTGCCTGCTCAAGGCAATCAAAGAACAACAGGATGATCGTGATAGTGATCCACACATTTCAAGTTTATCTCTTATTTCAATTCACTTCAGTTTACTAACTGTCTGAGAGCACCTCTGTACCTGACCTGTCCTGGATGTGGAGCACTTTGGACATTTGGCCATAAGTCTCCTTGACAATCCTGAGTTGGAGCCTGAATTTTGCCTGTGCTTAACCACAGATGGACTTGAGATCAGCCTATAGTGGCTGGTTCTATCGGATGTTTCCAAGGTAGCAACACAGCCTTGAGCAATTGCATATTCATGCAGGAAGTGAACTTTTGCCCCTAGCAAGATAAGTGTTATGTTCAATCCTATTTTGCATCATTCTTTTTGGGAATCCAGGGCGGGGCTAGGTTTTAATTGTTTCCCCACCCACCCAAACCTACCCCTTGTGACCTCTCTCAGGCAACTCTCTTGTGTGAGGTTTTGGGGAATGAGTTCTCTCTGCTGACACAACTACCTGTGCTTTGTTTTACAGAAGCTGGTTTTCCAGGAGACAACGCAAGGTAAGGACTCACATTGGTCTCTGGTCTCAAGCACTGTAGCACTCTCCTCCAGTTGTTCATCAATTTTCTCCAGCGGGCACCAGTGACGTCTCCATTGTGAGACTTCTTGTTACTGTTTTTGGCATATCAAATACATCACGGGTAGCTTGCCAGGCTTTGCTGTGCGGGTGGGATACTCTCGGTAGCTTGCCGGGCTCTCTGAGAGGGCGGAGGAATCAAACCTGGGTTGACCACCTGCAAGGCAAACGCCCTACCCACTATCGCTCGGGAATAAATTTAAAAATACAGAACAGTGGGCTTGTAAAACTAGATCAAGATAGTTTTCTACAATTTAGACCTATCCTTAGTTCCTTTTCCTCCCTTTTACTTTCCAATAAACTTTTCTACTTTCCAAAAAAAAATTATTTTCTAATATAGCTAAATTATCTCAATAGCTAAATTATCTCAATTTCATATTTCTTAAAATGATAAAAATCATAGTTTCCTAAAATTATTCCAGAAGTTCATACTATAGATTTGATCACTGCTCCATTTTGAGGCAACATAATTTACAATATTGTTAACGATAGAGTTTCATGCATACAATGTTCTAGCGCTACAACCACTACCAGAGTCAGTTTCCCTCCACCAATGTCCCTATCCAATCTGTTCCCACTTTCACTCCCTGCTTCCTTGAAAACCAACTCTCAGTTTCTGTTGTCTTTGGTCATTTATTCTCACCTTAACAAGGTACTTTTATAACCCACATATGAGAGAAGTCTCTCCATTTGACTCTCTCCATATGAGTGACTTTACCAACTTGATACCCTCAAGTTCCATCCACTAGGAGAAAATTAATAAATGTTGGTATTTTTTTAACCTTTCCTGTAGCTGAGTAGTATAGTCCATTTTGTGTGTCTGGGTATTTTTATTATCCAGTCATCTGTTCTTGGACACTTGTGTTGTTGCCTATTATTGACTATTGTGAATAGTGCTAAAATGAACTAGAAAAACATTATCTCTCAAAACACTACTTTTGGGCCCTTGGTGTAGGTCTCCAAGATGTAGAATTGCTGAGTTTCATGAAAATTCAATTCTTAATTTTTTTAATAGTTTCCATATTGTTTTTCATAGAGGCTGAACCAGTCAACAGTCCCACCGACAGTGAACAGGGGTTTCTTTTTCCTCATTATGTTACAACACTGGTTGTTTCTATTCTTTTTGATAGTATGTATTTTACATAAATTTGTATCAGTTTCTTATTTGAAAATGTATTCATGCATCTAAATGATTATATATATAGACTTTCTAGGTCAGCACAGAATATTTCTTGCGCAAATAATCTTAGGGACAATTTTTGTGCTGCAATTGTGCTAAATGAACATTTGTTCTACACTGTTTAGAGAATTCTCTCTTTCCTTTCTTCCTTCTTTTTATGTATAATCACCAGACTCTGTGCCTTTACCTTGGGTTAAAAAAAAAGTCTTACACCTTTCTTTGAATTATGGAAAAATTTTTGTTAAGTCATGGCCAAAGGGTTGGAGAAATGATAATGTTTAATTCCTTCTTCAATTTTTGAGAGTGATATAAAGATATTAAACCACTACCTAGTGATAAAGAGCCTAGTTTTTATTGTTTTTTAAAAAATTGAGGGGACTGGAGTGATAGCACAGCGGGTAGGGCATTTGCCTTGCACGTGGCCGACCCAGGTTCGATTCCCAGCATCCCATATGGTCCCTCGAGCACCACCAGGAGTAATTCCTGAGTACATGAGCCAGGAGTAACCCCTCTGCATCGCCGGATGTCACCCAAAAAGAAAAAAAAAGTTGAGAGTGATCATTTGGTCTATAAGATGACTGTCAGGGACATTCTAGTCTTGATTCCAGATTGCCAGCCCAAACCATCATGTCCAGAATTTCTAACAAAACAATAATCTGATTCCAAATAGATCTAATAAGGCTTCAGTTAACTCATTCAGGATTTTCAGTTCTCAGTGACTTGTAATACCCACCTTCTCCCCCATTCTCTCTGTCTCCCCCACTCATTGCATAATCATGTATTCCAGGAATAATCATGTATTTCTGTATTTTTACAGCAGCTGTCCCACACCAAGACCAAAAGAGTCACCTCAACACATGTGTCCTGATGCTATGGAGTTACAAGTAGTGGATGGCAATGGTGAGGATACCCAGGCAGGAACGTGTTCCTGATCTGATCCAGGGGAATAAAATGTGCTTTTTGGCTTTACAAAGGCCTCTGGCCTCCCGAACTAACCCAAAGTCAGGAACTCCCCATACATAGTTACTTTATCTATATTCAGGAATAGACAGCTGAAGAATTTGCAACAAGTACCACTGACTGGAGCAGACTAGAAAGTGTTGTCTTTTCTTTCCAGCACACCTCAAAGAGGGAAATATGGTGTACTCAGAGATCCAGATGATTTGTGTTAAAGAAGAAGGGAATGGTAAGTTACTGGAGAGATTCTGGCCACAAACATAATTTTCTGTTTCTTCCTCAATACATATTACTGAGTACATCCTGTGTGGTAAGTACTATTTCAAGTGCAGAGTAAATCAGTGAGAAAAAACAATAAAATCCCTACTGTACTGTGCTTAAATTCTTTATTTTTTTAATATAGGAGTACTGCTATTTATTCAGCCATTAATTAAGCTGATTGAATTGGGCATGAATTCCACATTACTTTTTTAATTCAGTATGTTAATTTTATTTTATTAAAAAATTTTATTATTATAATTTTTAATCACCATAAGATACAGTTACAAAGCTTTTCTGTTTGAATTTCAGTCATACAACAATCAATCACCCAACCCTCCACCAGTGCACATATTCCACCACTAAGGTTCCCAGTATACCCCCTATTCCACCCCTCCCCCTGCCTCAATGGCAGACAATCTCCCCCATACTCTCTTTTGTATTGCTTGTTATAAATAGTATAAGATGTCGCATAGCCTCGAGAGCGACCATATGTCCTGGAGTTCTAAAATTTTAGATAATTAGGGTCTGTCCGGAGAAATCTCTGCAGCAAGCTGCTTGGTTTGGAGATCCTTTTGTATGTCTCTGGATCATGACTGTTAATTATGAGCTTAAGTAGCAGTTTTGGGGCAGTTTGTGGGGATGATCTCTAGGGTTCCATAGGGACATGCACTTCTCATTGGGTTCTGAAAGTTGGTGGCCACAGGGGGCTTTTCGGGGACAGGTGGAGCGACGACCCCTATCTCCGTCTGAGGCGCCCCAGTGAAGTCAGCCTGACTTAAAGTCTGGAGGCATCTCTGTAGGAAGCTGTTCAATTCAGAGATTCTTTTGTGTGTCTCTGGATCATGGCTCTTGTTTCCATCTTTCCCAGAGAAATAAACTATTGCATAAGCCCTGTAGGGTCTGACTGCGGCTTTTGATCTCTTTCGAGATTTATGGGATTCTGAAATAAGGTGAATAAATGAGCTTGAGTAGCTGAGCCAGAGGTGAGACAGAGACAGAGACAAAGACAGACAGAGAAAGAGAGAGGGAGAGAGAGAGAGAGAGAGAGAGAGAGAGAGAGAGAGAGAACAGAGAGACAGAGAGAATGTCCAAAAGGTTTTCCTCATGGAGCATACACATGAAGGAACTTTCACAGTAGCTTAAAAATAATCAGGGAAGGAGTGGAATGAAGGTCCTGTAAACAGGAAGGAGTAAAATGAATGTTCTGTAAATCAAAAAAGGGCAAGAGTTAAAACTTAGAGGAAAATTATGTCTCAATATCTGGTAATGAAAAGGAACAAGCTTTCTTGATGTGGCATTATACGAAGTCTTTAAAGATGGAATGTGGAAAAAAGCTTGAAGAAGGCTGGGTTAAGAAATAGTAAAACAGGCTGGAGCAATAGCACAGTAGGTAGGACGGTTGCCTTGCACGTGGCTGACCTGGGTTCAATTCCCAGCATTCCATATGGTCTCCCCGAGTACTGCCAGGAGTGATTCCTGAGTGCATGAGCCAGGAATAACCCCTATGCGTTGCTGGGTGTGACCCAAAAAGCAAAAAAAAAAGGAAAAGGAAAGAAAAAAAGAAGTGGTAAAACAGAAATGTAGAGGCATTGTAGGATATCTTGTATGTTTAGGGTTGGGAAAACATGGCAATCAACAGAAAGGCCTCAAATGTTTCGGGCTCAGTGGCTTCCAGTTTCTGAGGAACAGTCTAAAAGACTGGACTCTGGGAGAATTCTAATAAGCCTGGTTCAGTGTTTCTCTTTCTCTCCAACAGTTAGTACTTCCACAACATCTCCAGAGAATACAGTGAGTATTGTTTTCTTGTTATTTTCTCTCCTACTTTTTTTTTTATATATGTCTTGTCTATCTTTCCAGTACTTCTTTATTTCTTTCCACCCAGCAGACTTCAGTTATCTACTCGGACGTGAAGAAGACACAACTCCCAGATGAGTCATCAGAAATGATCTCCTCTAAGGATGAAAATCCCACAGAAAGTTTCTAGGAATGTCCTGCTTGTGACATGTCCTGAATTCAAAGCAGCCATTCAGTGAAGTTTTCAAGGTCCTTGAAGTGATCAACCAGTTCCAGATTTCTTCTTTTTTATCCATGTGCATTTATTCCCAAGGCTTTCTTTTTGTTTGTTTTTGGTTTTTGTTTTTGTTTTGGGGCCACACCTGGTGGTGCTCAGGGGTTACTACTGGCCCTGCACTCAGGAGTTACTCCTGGCGGTGCTCAAGGGACCATATGGGGTGCTGGAGATCAAACCTCAGTTGGTCACATGCAAGGCAAATGCCATTCCCAAGACTTCTGACTCGTCTATTCTGACTTGGTGATTGAATGGTCAACTGAAAGACTGAACAGGGATTTTAGAAAAACAAATTAGGAAGGAGAAGAACTGTTGTAAATCAAATGCACTAATTTTGGTAAATTGGTATTTACACATACAAATGATGAAAAGGGGCAACAATTGCTTCTCCCACTGGGGATCAATTGTGTCTACTGGCTTGATAAATCATAATAAAGATATAGGTCATTCCCTTCCACTTAGACTGTTCACACCAGCATTCCTTAACCACAAGGTCTTGGACCGGTGCAGTACCAAATTTGTAAAAAGGTTGAAAACGACTGGTCAACTAGGTGACAGCATATAGGAGAAAATGTTGAAGAAAGCTGGTTTACTCTCTCTGAGTACAGTTGCAGATAAAAGATTTGCTCTAACTGGTTTACAGAGAAAAGAATTTAAAGTAGGATATTAAGTACTTTACTAGATAATCAAAATAACCATAGAATCATGCTATAAGATGAGCTTCCAAAAATTTAAACATAATTATGCTAATTTTTAGAGAAAAATACATATATAAAATCTTAAAGTTAAATAACATAAAGAAATAAAATTGAGTTGAAAATACCAGTACATAAACTGATGATGAATTTTTCGTTTTTGAAAGAGATATTTATGTCATTTGTGTCCTTAGTCTGTGCACTAAAAAGATTGAAATAATTATCAACCCATAAGCAATAAACACCTTAGCACACACTGTAATATCTCAATACTATTTATCACTCAAAGGACAAAGGACTACCTTTCCTATAGGAGTTACTAAATAGTTGGTGCGAGAATTCTTTTTGTATATTAAGAAAGAATGTAAGCGATAGTACAGCGGGTAGGGTGTTTGCCTTGTACATGACCAACCTGGGTTCAATCCCTGGTATCCCATATGGTCCTCCAAGCACCACCAGGAGTAATTCCTGAGTGCAGAACCAGGAGCAACCCCTGAGCAACGCTGGGTGTGACCCAAAAAGCAGAAAAAAAAGAAAGAAAGAATGTGAGAAACCACAATTTTGAATGGATGTTTCATATTCCACCTACTAGTTAGGTAAATAGAAAATATATAGCCTAATATTATATATCTCTTGATGGAAGCATTTAGCATTATCCACAATATCTGACATTCATGACAAAATATCAATACTGAATCCAAACAGTTTTCTAGAGCTTCTGCCAGTTTACAGGGACTAGACAAACGAATATATTAAATGCGATTTGCTCATAATATAGCAATCAGCAATGTCTAAACTGAGAAATTTCTCTAAGACAAGTGCTCTGGTTTCTTCAGCAAATAAATGTTAAATAAAGGAGAAAGAAACAAAGAAAGAAGAAGATTGGAAGGAAAGAAAGAGGAAGGAAATACTTAGAAATTAAATGACTTGAGATCTATTAAATGGACAGAACTTGTTTTTATCCTCATACAAGCAAATGCAATTAGGAAAAATAAAATCACATGAAATACTAAGTGAAACTTGTGCATTGGTATAGTAAGAAATGTTGTGTTTGGGATATAACCGATAATGTTGTTGTTTTAAAGAAGTATATCTCTTTTTAAACTCAATTGAAAAAGTTTATAGATGAAATTATATAATTTGCTAAAAACAATGCAATAAGAGGATGTGAGGGCGATCTGGCTGAGGCATCTGTCACCCCACTGATTCAACCAGGGGTGATTCAGCTGTTTTGACTGGCTAGGCAGATCAGTCCTTACTCTCTCACTGCTCCATGTGCATCCTCAAAAGCTGAGCTCAGACGGCCTTCCCAGAAAAGAGACAAAGAGACGGACAGTTCTTCTGTGCAGGGTTTGCAAGTAGCTGCACTCCCCGGCTAGAACCTTCAAACAACCTCAAAAAAAATTCAATAAAAAGCGTAAGGGAAATGGCTAGGATGTAGATGAAATGGGATTGGTTGTGTTTACATAATTTCTGAAATTGAGTGATGGGTCTTTTGTGAGAGGAAGAGGGGCTTATATTAGCTTATGCTTTGTATGTTTTTAATTTTCCACAGTAAAACTTTCAATAAAAACTTCATTTTATCACTTCTTGTGTTTCCACCGTCTCCCTACTTTGACAGTCGTGAATCCCTTATATGTCTTCCTCCCTTCACCCACTTCTCAGTACTTGAGTCATGGTGCTTTCATCTTCCTATAGAAAAAGCTGGAGTCAGATCTACATGCCCACAGAGTTTCTACATAACTTTTCTTCTGTTGCCTTCCTGACATCACCTCCTGCTAATTTCCTTTTTGTCACTTAGCTGTAGGCACTCTGCAAACTCCATGCAATATTCAAACAAGATCTTTGCCTGGGTTGCTCTTTCAGAATGTATCCTATCAGATATTCACCAAGACTGTGAAGCCCACCTCAAATACTCTGTAACATGCAAAAACTTGAAACTTACTTTCAAACTCTTATCTTTTTCAGCACCTTATTTCCCTTATTCTTTTTTGTTTTATACTCCATAGTACTTAACACATAAAACATAATGTAAAATTTACTGTTATGCATTATTGCACATCACTTCCTCTGGAATGCAAGTTTTCTTATTCCTTTCATTTTGGGAGCCACATTCAATGGTGCTCAGGGGTGATTCCCAGAAGTACTCAGGGAACCTATGCCATGCCAGGAAAGGAACCCAGGGCACCCATATGCAAACGATGT